ATTGAATCCCCGTTTGATAAAAAATCCACTCAATCTCCCATACCAAGCTCTAGAAGCTTGTTTTAGATCATAAGATCTTTTCAACTCAAGAACATGATTAGGATTATCGCGATCCTCAAAACTTGGAGGTTGTGTGATGTACACCTTTTCATTTATATGCCATTTAGAAAAACATACTTAACATCCATCTGGTAAAGCTTAAAGTCCAAGCAGCAGGCAAATGCCAAAAGGAGTCTAATGGCTTATAGGCAGGCTATAGAAGCATAACTCTCCTTGTAGTCTATCCCTTCAACTTTTTTATATCCTTTTGCCACTAACCTATATTTATTTCTTGTATTTACTCCATTTCATCCATCTTGTTCCTAAATACCCATCTTGTGCCTATACCAGTTTTATTAACCAGACATAGAACAAGGTCTCAAACATCATTTCTTTTAAATTAGATTGGTTCCACTTACATAGCAAGTAACCATCCCTCTTCAAGTAAGGCATCAAATATGGATTTAGGTTCAATATGATAAACGAAAGCAGAGCACTTACATAAATTTTTAACATGTGATATAATACTTACTCCCTTTTAATGTCTCCAAGGATTTGACCTAATGAATGATCCTTTGCGATTGTCGAATCTCGAGGTAGATGGTTCAACGTCTCTTATTCATTTCTGTTATAATACCTAAAACACCAGAACAAATACCTTTCTCTGACTTTTGGGGTGAGGATTCATCAAAAGCAACATGAATTGACTCTTCTACATAAGAAGTTCTATGATTGTAAACCCTATATGCTTTACTCAGAGATGAGTACCCTAAAAAAAACATTAATCATATTTTGCATCGAATTTGCCAAGGTTATCTTTTTTGTTATTCAAAATAAAACACTTGCAACCAAAAACTCGAAAATACAAAATATTAGGTTTTCTACCCTTAACTATCTCATAGGGTATCTTCTCTGATAAATCTTACGATTACCCTATTTACGACGTGGCATGCGGTGTTAATCGCATCCACTAAAAAAATACTTAGGTAGGCTTATCTCGTTTATCGTAGTTTCGAAAAGCTCTTCCAACACACAGTTCTTGCCTTCTACAACATGATTTTGTTGTGAATTTCTAGTACACGAGAAATTATGAGCAATACCATTTTCGATGCAAAAGTTTTGAAAATGACGGTTCACGAATTCCCCACGATGATCACTATGGAGATTGATGATTTTAAAACCAACATTTTAAATAACCTTAGTAAAGTCAACAAAAGCTTTAAAAGTATCATCTGGGCTAAGAAAAACGTTCATGTAAATCTAGAGTAGTCGTCGACAATTACAAATCAGTAATAGTTTCCACCTAAACTTCTTGTCCATGAAGGGACAGACAAGTCTAAATAGAGAAACTCAAGAGGTTTTGATGTCGAGATTACCTTTTCCCATTTGGAAAACGTCACATAATTTCTCTTTTGAAAACTTTATTTTAGGAAGACCAACTACTAGATTTTTGGATGCTATCTTATTTAGCATGTCAAAATGCACATGGCTTAAGCGTCTATGCCATAACCAAGAATCCTCATTCTTAGGTACTAAACACTTAGTTTAATGCATTGAGACATCATCTAGATCAAGCATATATACATTTCCAATCCTAGAACCCTTAAACATAAGGTCCTTACCAGTCTTATGCTCAATTATACAACCAAAGTATTGAATGAAACTGAATACCCTTTGTCACATAGTTGGCTAATACTTAGCAAGTTATGTTTAAGCCTTTTCACTAACATCACACTTTCAATGGTAATTATGGAGGGACTTCCCACAACACATTCACCAAGAATTTTACCTTCCGCATTGTCTCCATAAGTGACGTGACCACTTTCCTTCTCATCGAACTTGATGAACATGGAAGCATCTCCCGTCACGTGTCTTGAACATCCGTTATTTAGAAATCACAATCTTTTTGCGGAGGTAAGACATTATTGTGACAAACCAATAAGGTGATTTAGGTCTCCAACTAGTGGGTCCTTTAAGGTTAGTTTAGTTATATTTAGGTATCCATGACATTTTACAATTGGAAACTTGAATGTTCTTAACATGACAAAGAGACCTAATGTGACATTTATCTACATAATAATGGCAAATAGCTTTAGATGAAACACTTATTCTATTTCTCTTAATGACATGAGGTTTTTTTCTTAAAAACCTCCACTCTTTCACTTAAAGAACTAGAACAAGTATTAGATAGTGTGACAACATATGTTAATTTTCCCTTAAGAGTTTCAGTTTCAATTTTTAAAATTGGACATTCAACACATTCTAGAACTTCTATATTTTCAACTAAAGTATTTAAAACAATACAACGCTTTTCCACAAGAGATGTATGAACTTCCTTTAAACAATCTAAATCACGATTAAAATTCTTTATCTATTGTTCAAGTGTATAGATAATTTCTTTTTGGAGAGCAGTTTCCTTAAATGCTTTAGTGGAATCAACATACACGTCATTAAAAACACTAGACAGTTCACCGTAAGTTTACTCATTCTCAGGGCTACACAAATGACCTATCAAATGCCTCGCTTTAAGGACTTATAGTCTCATCATACGGGCTACACATAATTTTGCTTAAGGGACTTAGATTTCCCAAGCTAACTAACTTCTCGACTGACAGACTTAGACTTTCCTCGGGCAGGATCAGGCTCAAGAGGCGCGATCGAAGTCTAACCTAAGATAATTAGTCATAAGTATTGTCTGAGGGCTTGATAGAAGTCCCGTCCGAGAGGCTCAACATCTCGCTTAAGGGACATATAGTCTCATCAGCTGGGCTACATATAACTTTGTCTGAAAGCCTTAGATTCCTCAAACCAACTAAAATCTCGTATAAGGGACTTACAATTTCCTCAGACGAGATCAAACATAGAAACTACGCCCAAGAGGCGTGACTCAAGTTTAGACTAAGAGGCTTAGTCACAAGTCTTGTCTAAGGGCTTAGTCTCATCAACCTGGCTACACATAACTTTGCCTGAGGGACTTAGATTTCCCTAACCAACTAAACTCTCATATGAGACACTTAGAGTTTAATTTGGCGAGATTAGACATAGAAACCATGCCCAAGAGGTGCGACTGGAGTTTAGCTTAAGAGACTTAGTTACAAGTATCGTCTGAGGGCTTGATAGAAGTTCCGCCCGAGAGGCCTAATGCCTTGCATGAGGGACTTATAATCTTATTATCGGTGTTATAGATAAATTTGTATGATGGACTTAGATTCCCTAGGCCAACTAAATTATTTCCTGAGGGACTTAGAGTTTCTCTGGGCCGGATCAGACATATAAAAAACACCCAAGAGACACGAAAAAAGTCGAGCCTTAGAAACTTATTCATAAGTCTTGTTTGAGGGATTAATAGAAGTTTCGTCCACGAGATCCAATGCCTCGCTTGAGGGGCTTATAGTCTCATCGGTCGGGCTAAACATAACTTCTCCCGAGGGACATATATTCTTCATGCCAACTAAAGTCTCGCCTGAGGGACTTAGAACTTCTATGGACGTGATCAGAATTAGAAACCATGCGAAGAGGTGCGATCGAAGTCTAGCCTAAGTGACTTAGTCACAAGTCTTATCCGAGGGCTTAATAAAAATCCTGCTCGAGATACCCAGTGCCTCGCTTAAGGGGATTATAGACTCATCAACCAGGATACACATAACTTCGGCTAAGGGACTTAGATTCCCTAAGACAACTAAACTCTCGCCTGACTGACTTAGAGTTTTCCCGAGCGGGATAAGACATAGAAACCACGCCCAAGAGGCGGAACTGAAGTTTAGCCTAAGAAACTTAGTCACGACTCTTGTCTAAGGGCTTGATAGAAGTTCTGCCCGAGAGGCCTAATGCCTCGCCCGAGGGACTTATAGCCTCATCAGTCAAGCTATAGATAACTTCGCTTGAGAGTCTTAGATTCCATAGGCCAACTAAAATCTCTTCTGAGGGATTTAGAGTTTCTCCGAGCGGGATCAGACATAGAAACCATGCCCAAAAGGCGTAACCGAAGTTTAGCCTAAAAAACTTAGTCACAAGTCTTGTATGAGGGCTTGATAGAAGTCCCTCGGACGAGACCAAACAATATGATTTTCCTTAAGCCCCCTCCCCCCAAGCCTAATAGTCCTAATGCGTCACCCACATTATTAGAAAACTCAGGGCCTTAACATACTTTATCGTACCATGGTCTAAAAACAGTTTGGCCTTTATCAAAGACGTCGTACTTGAGGGACTATGTAGTGTTATATTTGTGAAGTACCTAGGTAGGGAGATGATTATAGGTCACCCTAAGAGGGGGCAACCATCATGTATCGCCCCAGGGAGATATCACCTCGCCCATCAAAGTCTTCCTATTGCCCTCTCATGAAAAATGTGGGATAAGACGTTTCTGATGCAAAGAGAAGTAAAAGTCAATAACTGACCCACATCCTCTTAGAAAAGAGGGATTCAACGGTCTACCATTGACTAGGTGGGTGACGATCCTTCCCAAGAAAACCCTAGACCCAGAGCCTCTATAAATATCTCTTCTCAAATGAGAGAAAAGAAAGATCTTAACTACTATAGATCACAACTTACCTATGCCTAAGCACTCTATTCACATACAGATTCTCTTACCTCACATGAGCAAGTTCTCTAAACCACCACAAAACACCACCGTACAAAATTTCTCTTTGTTACGAACACACCCTAACTACCATACAACATAATATGCCTATTAAGACCTATAGATATCCATATCTTTCGCAAGGGTGACATGCACGTGTGCATTTTTTGACAAATAGTAGACTCAAAAGTCAAAACCTAATGCAACGGTTCTTTTTTAGTGCAACTTATTTTTGGTACCCAATAGTAGTATTTTTCTTTCTTCTAATTAAACAAAAAATCCCTAACTGAACTGGTCAAGACGGGGTGGGGTGTTAACCTGAAACAAATCGAAGCAGTGAGCGACTGAGAGTGTTACCGGCGGGAGGCTTAAAAGGCCGTAGATGGCGGATCCCTATTACCCATACCCAACTTCTGCACCTTCCGACGGAGGTACTCTCTCTTCTCTTTTTTTTCTCCATCATAATCATTCCTTTTTAATTATCTCCCCCTCAAAATCACTTCTTTCTTAATTACTCTCATTGAAACTCTAATTAACACAATTGAAAGATTCAATTTTTATACTTGGGGGTAATTTTCAAGATTCAACAATTAAGAAGGTAGGAAAGTGTTAGATATAATTTTTAAACCTAGAAAAATAGCACTTTCTGTTTATTTCATTTCAAATGATCATGTTTTGACTGTTTCTTCCTGATTCTGTCAGCAAATTTTGCCAGAAATAGCTATGCCGGTTACATTCCATCCGAGTCACCATCATTAGCTTCTCCTCGTCCTAAATCCACCGAATTTCCGGGATACGGAACAGATTACCTTCATAAAGATGTAAAATTTTAATCACTTTTGATTGATTTTAAATGGAATTGTAGATGTATTTTTTCCAAGCTATTCATGTGCACTACCTGCAGGTAAGCTTGTTTCGGACGGAGCCATATGGTGTTGATAATACCAGGGGATCTAGAGTTCATTCTGAACCTAATGTTGTGGGTTATTCTCCTCTTGAGGATCCTAAATTAAGTACGAAAAGAGATACTCTGCCGGGTGTTGATCCAGGCATTCCTGATGCAATTGCAAACAATGAAAGATCAATCTCTAAAAGCAGTTATGATGCCCTCCCAGCTTCAGCTGCGGAGTCAAACATTTTGTTTGTGGGCGGTCTTCCAAAAGACTGTACTAGAAGGGAAGTAGGCCGTATCCTTTGCCAGTTGCATGTGTTCTTGTATGCGTGGTATATCTGTTTTTGATCATTGCATGTGGGTATAATTGATAGGAAGAAACTGTTGTCAAATTCTAAATTTTGTTTGATTTTTACTTTATAAGATCCTATATAGCTGTTGTTTGTTTCAAAGTTCAGCAAAAACCTGAGTGGATAATTATTTGCCTTTTAACCGTTTATGGAATGAACTTGTTGGTGTTTCAAATAGCAATAACTGTATTTCAATATTCTGTTGACTTGAATCCTTGACCTATCGCTTAGATCTTTTCCGTCCCTTTATCGGCTATAAAGATATCAAAGTTGTTCACAAGGAGCCAAGACGAGTAAGTGTGTTTATTAAGAATTTCTTGCCTATTGTTTAAGAAAATTCCAATATTGTGAGACCCATCTAACACTATTATATTAGATTGTGACGTGATTTTTGTGTTTAGAAACAATATAATATTGCCTATACACCTGCTGCGACATTCCTCTAATGATATATTAGCTAGTACTAGTACTATTTGATACGCTTAATCGTAGATGCTTGTTTTATTATGGATATTTAATTGTGTTTAAATGACCAAACATACTGCAGAGTGGGGACAAGGCTATGATTTTTTGTTTTGTGGAGTTTACTGAACCCAAATGTGCTCTCACCGCTATGGAAGCTCTGCAAGGTAAATGCTTCTTTTTTGTTAATATAACTGAGTTTTGATGTCTATCCACAGGGTCCCCAGGAAAACATATATAATGCTTGGTACATTATAGGGATTTGTTTGAAAGTTAGGAAATATAGAAGACCTCTAAATAATATGAGTTCTAATTATATGATAGATGTATATCAAAATATAAAGCACCGACACTTACGGTTACTAGTATTCTTAGTGCTAACTGGTAATTCAATACAACCGGTACAAAAGAAACCCCTTAAAAAACAGTTCACATTTTTATTGAATATATGACGTTGCTTTGTATCATATTCATATTTAAATAAAAATAAAAATATACATGGTGTACAAAATGTATAAAAATATAAATACACATTTCTTTGATCCATGTAGCCGACTCCACCTAGTGAGATAAGACTTAGTTGTTGTTGTTGTTGTATATGGAAATATGGTAAAATGCGTTTCCCACGAGGTTTCCTTCCTGGACATAAAATTGTACTGATCTGCGATTTGTTACTTAAACAATTTGTGTCTGAGCCACAGGTTTTGGACACATTAAGAGGGTGGACGGAAGCTTCTATTCTAGGTTTTGTTTTGTTGCAATAATAACACAGTGATACTTCGGGGTTTGTTTTTAACCAGAAATGTTTCCTTTAAGATGTATTGTGAAATATCCTTTTGATCTTGATTGGCTACGAGCTTTGCAAATGACTGCGCAATGCGCACCTATGAGAGGCCGAGTAAGATTGGATAGGGGTTGTGGGAGTAGGCAAAGAGAAGAGGGATAGGGGTGGGGGGAAGATCATGAGGTGGTATTTTGATTAACAAATGCGGCAAGGGCATGTTAATATATTTGATTGCTCGTCAGTTGTAACAAAATAGAGAATTTAACAGTTAGACTGATGCATCTAACAGATATATACTAGAGGATATTTTTGAAAAGTATATTGGTAAAAAATGAAATGGTATATTTAGAAGGAAAATAATGTTATTTAAGCTAAATTTAAAATATTAGATGCATAGTCCTGTTATAGATGTGTGGAAATACATACTCACCTGTAGAACTTTATGCAGGCTACAAGTTTGATGATAAAAAACCTGATTCGCCAACCTTAAAAATCCAGTTTGCGCACTTTCCTTTCCGCCCGCCAACTGATGATCGACAATAAGCTTTTAAGTATGACAAGACTCATGCTGACTGGTATTGTATTTCTTGGCTGAGAAGTTTGACGCTGCTCAGATGAACTCTATCTGATGGAGAAATTTGCTTTTGGATTCAAATTTAGACGAGGCACAGTTGCTGAATCTAGAATTATTTTAATAGAATTTTCATGATCTTAGAAATTAGGCGTGGCTTTGTACCTTTGAGTTTTGATCAGTTGGTGTTTGCCGCTTTTTTTGTTTTGTTTAAGTAGGGTGTTGTGTGTTGTAAAATAAAATGGTCAGTTGTTATTTAATGTGTTCTGGTATCATATATGGCGTTACATTCTTTGTAGTAGGTAGAATTTATGTAAGAGGTTCAAAGACTCATTTTTGTCTAATCATATTGGTCTTTTTGCATGGTGCATTGTAGATGAGCATTTAAGTTTACACCCTACAAGTTCGACTTGGATCTGATACCATCAAAGTCAAAGAATTGATTATATTAGCTTTGAAATTTTCCGGAAATTTCATAATCTCTCTTGGAAATTTTGAAATCAGTAAGTATTTTTTTGAAAATTTCGAAATTTAAGTCAAAATCATTTGAATTTATACTGGAAATTTTAGAAATTCCGTTATTTTTTTCAAAAGTTTCAAAATTTTCGATACCCTTTGGAATATTTAAGATTTTTGGTTATTAAAAAAATTGAATTTTCCCTAAAATTTTAGAATTTCTAATGAAATGAGGGAAATTTTATAAATTCTAAATTTTAACTATTTTTTGTTTTTGTTTTTTTCGTTCAAAATATCATAAATTAAACTACCAGAAATAAACATGGTACTTTTTAAAAATTTTGATAAAATTGCTTTAGAAATATTGGTATACCAGAAATTATAAATACACTTTAAAAAATTTTGGAGTATTAAAATATTTGAATTGGCCATCAGAAATTTTTTATGCAAATTTGATTCAATTTTTTTAGTTGGGACACTTTGGAATATGAAATTATGCGGGGGTGCTAGGTAGCGAGGGGGTGACAAGTTAAATGCTGGTTATAAATTACCATGATTCTTACCGGTGGTGTATTGGGCTACTACTGTATTCTCTTAAGGCACCATCTGGATTTGCCCCTTGACATTTAGGACATTGCTTATTGCATCCTTAGCCTTGCTCACGTATTCTGGTGAAATACCATAAATGTTCATAGAATATGAAAATGCGTTTTTGGACTCACCAAAACCCCATAACTAATCTAAAAGTGTATTTTCAAGAACTACAATGTTTGATAAATAGAACAAATATAAAATAGGAAGAACAACATAAATTAACATCAATCATTGTTATGAGATACATAAAAAAGTACCATTACATAGATAACCATTAATGTAAATTTAACATTACATTTCATCATCAAGTAATGGTTGAGGACATTTCAACATCTTTAAAATATCTTTGGTTGATCTCGCAACATTCACATCCACCTCGATCATTTCTTATATTTCGTAACGCTAATATGTATTTCATATAACAATTAAATTTTCATCTGCCTTCAAATCAAATTTGCTGAACTGTATTTTCTCTTTGTTGTCAATCGAGGGTGAACGATAATAGAGCTTCACAACTCTTCGATTGTATAGGTAGCGCAACAAATTCTCTAGTGTGGATTTCAGATCGGCAAGAAGCGTGACCTCGGTGAACCTAAATTCAAGAGGGATCTCTCACTCTTGAAGTTGACAAAAGTGAGATATGAATATTGAGACATTATGTGTGTGATTTTGCTAACAACATAAGGGGCACCCATCTTTATACAACTTTTAGACTAATATAGACCTTAAAAATCCAATCCTGTCTAAGAGGGTATTCCGGAGATGTACTTTCGGATTCATCCTGTTTTGTTTAGTAAAATTAGGATGTATACGGAAATGAAGTTCTGAGTCAACCAATGTTAGCATTTTTTTTAGAAACTAAGGTGTCGTCAGAAGTACATTTTTGGATTGACCTTTTTTCTTCTTCTTACAACACGTGTTACAAAAATAAAAAATTTAGAATGACTTTTGAATTTCAGTTTCAAATAAACTTGAACAAACAATAGTGATTTTGAATGCCGTCTGATTTTGAGGTAGGTCACTCCTTAACATCTACAACCCACTCAATGTATTTGTGCATAAAAACCGACATCTATTTAATGTGTATCATTTTTAGTAAAGGTGGTGAAGGAGATAGTTTGCCAATGCGAGCACCTTTGAAAAGAATCTTTTATGAGATTTTGAAGTTGGAGAATTCGAAAAAAGCATGTCAACATGTTTGAAATAGGATGGAGTCTGCATTGTTGAATTGTCACTCATCGTTGGTTTGACCTTCTTAGAAGCACCCTTTATTTTTACCGGATGCGAGGGTGGTTTCAAATCCTTGGTTTTTGGACAGGCAATCTTCCTCAGTTGCTTTTTGATGTGCATTTTCATGTTGTCATCATCTTTCAAAAATCTCTCTTGAATTACCTCCCATTCGTTTAAGATAAATGTTATTGTTCCCTTTGATTGACTGCATTAAGTAAAACAACATGAATAGTACAAGATGTATTTTTGACGGAGATGCAACATGTTGGACAAGATGTTTCTGCATGTATGCAACATCTGACCTCAGCCATCAGGCCAAGGTTTGTGAGTCATTCTGAGCAAAATTTTGTTTGATCCAAAGAAGATTTGTTGCTGTATCTTTTAACAATATGTTATTTAGTAAGATTTTCTAAAAATATTTAATAAGATAAAATCCAATAAACTGAACATTTAAATTGAATAAAGATCAAATCAAATCGAATATTATTGTGGATGTTTTTAAAACAAATCAAATCCGCATCATAACTAATTTTGTATCAAATCTAATGCCCATTGGAGAAAAGCCCAGAAAATGGTTTTCTATTTAAGGAGACTCATTCCTAAGTTTGAAGACACATAAGTTTTGAAGATCTACTATGCTAGGGTTTTTTTCTTTGACTCTTTGTATTCTTGTTTTTTATTTGCAAACCTCTAAAGAATCCTAAACTGAATATTCAAGGCATAAAGGTTGATTATTAGCTGAGTTGTAATTCAACATCTGTAATCTTTTGAAAGCATTGATCATTATGGTAGTGATTGAGAGAAGTCCTAAATAAAAAGACATGTGTAATATTATGAAGTAGGCATTGAACAAGGTTTGTCCATTTAAGACTAAATGTACTGATAATATTGAAATTTGATTTGCTTTTTTGAGTTGGAAGCTCCCAGATGTAGGTGATGTTGCACTAAACCGGATTAACAATTCTCCTTTGTTCTTTATTGCTTTCTGCATTATTTTCTTTAGTTTGTTATAATATGTTTTCTGTGGTACACATTGTCTAAGACATTGTGTCAAACATCTATCCTCCTACTACAATTTTAGATATATTTAATTTACCATCCTTCATCACACCACCACCACCACCACCACCACCACCACCACCACCACCACCATCATCATCATCATATAAATCCTTTTCTAGTGCATGTAAACCTCATCCATTTGCATGGGACTATTATGTTTCATCTTATCTAAAATTAAATAAGCGTGCGGAAGAACGTACGTCTTCCTAAGTGTACAACCATACTTTCAGCTATTTGAACCTACTTTCTCTAATCGTTTCGCTTCGTGATAAACAAAATTCAATATTTCTATATATGGCCTTACAAATTTGAATAAAGATTGTTGTCTCTAAATTTGTGTTCTAATACTATATTGTCGCGACCAAATGATGTTCTTATGTCATTATGCTGATTTTAAATCATTTGGTTCACAGAGTCCCAATCTCTACATAAATCACCTTTACTATTTACCAACAAATTCTTTAATGTCGCATGAGCAGATTCAACTCTATTAGTTGGTGTATTTCTAAAGTGTCTTATCTGATTAGTCCAAGCACAAACAATATTCTCTTTCACCTAATATAGAATTGTACTTTCAACATATTTTAAGAAATCCAGATGTTTTTCACACACTTTCTTGAGATGTATTACAAATTTGAGATATAACTCTTGCATATAAGAATTTATTATAACATTCCAGACATCTGTTATGCTTTTCTATACCACACAATCTTTAACGATTTCCCGTTTTTACCTTTGATTTGTTTGGTCCCTACTGTGAACTTAAGTTTACTTCTCACCTTTTTTTCATGTGATACCTACAAAGTAATGCATATGATGTAGGAAAGACATTTGCAACCAAATTCATCAGTGCGTTATCGCTATCAGTGGCAATGACCTTTGGCATGTTTTCTTGGTCCTTCAACATAGTTTGACACACTTCTAAATCCCATGTAACATTGTTCTCCTTTTCACTTTCCAAAAATGCAAACCTAACTGAAAAATTCATCTCTGCAGAAGTAACACCAAAAATTTCCAGAAGTGAAAGCTTGCACTTGTTGGTCTTATATGTTAAATCAATAATGAGCATAATTGGAAATGTGTTGAACAACTTGATGGAGTCAGGATGACTCCAAAATATATCTCGAATGGTTTCTCCATCCCCGTACACTCTGTACCTAGATATATAATGGTTATCATCCAAAAGCTTCAACAATTGTTGAATTTCAGTTTTGGGACCTCTTATCACCTTGTTGTTTTGGGTACACGCATACTTGCTTGATATTTGAGACATTTTGAGGTCTTTTCCGTTTCAAAGTTGCAAGTATATTTTTGGGCTGCACCATGTTCAATGTCATGTTAGAAACAACTCCATTCTCTTTATAATTAAGGCGACATGTAATGTAATGACCAACTAAATTGTAACACGTGTCATGATTATGTATACCATAAATCACATTAAATGTCCATGTATTATTCACCATAAGGTACTAGCACAACTTAACTAACATCTCCTCAAACCGGTGTCATCTAGTTTTAAATTTCAGATAGGTTTTATGTACTTGTAACTTCTTTCGCATCTTAGTGTCACAAATGTTTGTCTTCTATAATAACCGTTATTTGACCGACCGATTACAACACCAAATCCCAA